CTGCCCAATCTTCTTCTTTCTGGGCTCACCAACTGCTTCAGTGAGACCTCTCCTGGTTTCCCCTTCAATCTCCTATTTTCTAGGGGGACCCCAGACCGGGTGGTTCCAGATTTTCCCAGGAGCTGTTCCCAGAAGCTGCTGGCTGCACCATGACAGAGCTCCACCAAAGGCCACTGAAATGTTGAGGAGGACCAACAAGGACATATTGTCCCTGTCAGCCTACCTCAACAGGTCATCCAACAGGGCGACCAGTGCCATTTCCATACAATGGTGTGGCCTGAAGCCCGACTGAAACGGGTCCAGGGCATTGGTTTCATCCAAAAGAGCCTGCAGCTGATCAGCCACCACCCTCTCCACCACTTTGCTGAGGAAAGAAACATTGGCGACGGGCCTATAATTGCCAATGTCATCTACTGCCAAGTTTGGTTTCTTCCTAATGTTCTCTCTCTTCTTCCCCCGGCAAGGGCCAGGTCTGCGCTCAGCAAGACGGGCCAAGAATGACTTCTGAGGCTCAGAGAAGGAATAACAAGACAGGAGGTGGAAAAACACCAGATTTTATTAAAATCCAATTATCCCAGCTGTCTAGTATACATGTAGAAAAGAAATCTTACACCCATAACTAGAGATGGGAGTATTCGTATACGAATACCAATATTCCCCCACAGGTGCAGATAACGAAGTTCCGGCCCCCTGGGGCCTGAGCAACTAACGATTCCTTTGCTGCCATGAGCTTCAGGGAGCCTTATCATCTCTCTGTTGTTCGCAATGGATTAGCCACTCTGCGAAATGGCAGAGAGACTCGTCATCCCGCTTTCTGCCAGGACTGGCTAGTCTATTGCGATAGAAAGGCTCCGTGGAGTTCGCGGCACCTGTGGGGGGGTATATGAATACAAATACACCCATCTCTACCCATGACCATAAAAGCTAAGTGCAATATGTTACTTACGTCACTAAGAAGGAGCTCCATTATAGAAGAATCAGATCATGATTGCTTGAAATATATTTTCCCCCACAGATCATCCTGATTTCATAGAAAATTTCAAAGTGTTTATAACCAACGAAGAGAACACACTGTTGTCCCCAAAATGTTAGTAATTTGAGTGCAAGCAGGTACAGAAGCCAAAACTCAGTTAATATGATCCTCAAGATATATATACAAATAATGTGAAAGTAGCATTTTTTCCCTTCAGAAAAACAATTTTTCTCATAATCTCTTGTTAAGACAAAATAGACTAAATAACAGCTCCGCTGGTCAGTCACCCTCTGAAGTAAGAAAGCCCCACTGACTGCAAAGGTTGATTGGCTGGCTGATTGATTGACTGACCGACTGACTGATGGATAAAGTGATCAATATGCTGCTTTTTAACTAGACTGGGACTCATTACAACTGCAGCCTCATCAATTTAAATAATATGAATCACCAGATATTTTGTTCCTCCAATGGTGGGCCTAAAATTCTTACTTCAGCTGCAAAGGAGCCTCATTCCTCAAAGCTTTTCTCAAGTGTTCTTTGCTCCAAACAGGACACGGGAACAAGGTCTTAGGACTGTGGAGTTTTCAGAAAGCACAATGTCAAACCAAGCTCTTCACAATCCCAAATTAGGCATTAATTATAGCTAGTGAAAAAATGGAAGAAATTGTGAAAGGGCACTGCAGGATTCAGAGCATGATGGATCCACTCTTCCTCATTCGGCTTCCTCTGCGAGAAGCACCGGCCCCGAATTGGGCTGAAAAGAGACGAGGATGCTGCTTCGCAGACAGGCAAGAGCAGACTCTTCCCCTTCTTTGTCACTGGATTTGGTCTAAGAGTCGGCAAAAACAGTGATCTGTTATGAAGAGAGATGGCGCATGCTGAAAAGCTACATTTTTTGGTCAGGAGAGCAGATGGATCAATTACTGCACCCTGACGTTCCTGGAGAATCATGCAGGAGCAACTAAATGACATATACTTTGATACCCAGATCAACTCAGATAGGACTGTCGGGATGATCTCGTTCTCACTAGCATTTAACCCCTTCTTATTTATTTATTTATTAAGCTGTGACAGACAACCACAGACTCAAAACTACCAAGGGGTGTTATGAAGTTCTATAGCACTCTGTTCAAGTGCCATACTTTTGACCTTGACAGGGGGATACATACAATCCCTCAGATCCTTCAGTGCTGAGAGCAGGCTTTCAGCCATCTCGAAACCTAGGATGGAGCAAATTGCAGGAGGCTCAACCACACAGCAAGCTCAGTTTTTGTTGTAGTTGCGTCTGGAGTATGCTGGCAACCCAAACTATTGCAGACACCCCAGGCGTGGCTTGGTCATCTCCAGCCATCCTGTCCTTACTGCTTTCTTTCTTCTTTCTTTTCCTCCCGCTGGACATGCCAGTCCTTCCCTGAGGAGGGAAGAGGTGGGAGGCTCAACTGCTTTGGCAAGAGAACCCCCTCGCACCCCATCAGAAGAAGGAAAGGACCAGCAAGGACAGAATACAGAGTGCCGTCCCTTCCTTCCACTTTTCCTTTCTCTGATCTGTCACTGACCCCCTCAAAGCCTTCCCCTCCTGCAACTGGGAAAGGCAAATCCTGACACCTCTCCTGAAAGAGTGTGGGTGGGGAAGCAGGACTCTCAACTGGGTTGATAGGCTGCAGCTGCAGGAGTCTGCTTACTAGGGATCCATCATCTTCCCAGAGATCCAGTCACTCCCTTGCAAGACTCCTCTCGTATTCCTGGAGCCAGCCATGTTTAGAAAGGGGAAAAGGGATCTGTCCTCAGAATGAATGGACTTGGCTTCCCCACTTTAAGGCCTTGGGCTCTGTCTCCCCCTCCTGCTCACAGATGATAAGCCCATTCTCTGCAACTCACCTCTTTCTAAGGATGCTAAACGGCTGGGTTTCTCCCTGTGTGGAGAGAAAGGAGGAGACCAAGTTAGCATCTCCCTGAATTGTGCCAGACATTGTGACACATGCGTCTTAAGGGGTCTGTTCAGTCTTCAGGAGGTCAGACCTCAGAGGCTTAGTTATAAGAACATAAAGGCCCCCATCAGTCGCTTTTTAGAAGTGCCCTTGCCCTGAATGGGTATCTCAGAAATATTTCATCAAGACATGCTGTCTGATGATGCTCTTCCACTGATAAGTGGGGCTGGAGAATCAAAATGGGTGGGGAGGAGACCCCCTGTCTCCTCTGGGAGATATGAAGAAGCAGACAACATGGAAAGACCAGGGGCTTAAAAGTGTCTCTCTTTCTTTTCCCTGCAGAGTCTATAAGATGTAGGGCTTTTCCTCTTCTTTTTCGGTTAGATTCCATCACACTTACCTCCATCGGAGCTGCTGGAACCTCCATCATGTGCTGGAAAGGAAAAAAAAGATCAGGAATTCAACATCCGTGGAAGGGTGGGAGGGGGTAAGCCCTCTTCTCACTCACACAAGAGTGTAACTCGTACATTAAACTACAAAATCATCCATGTAAGGAGGATGATAAAAAGGGCCACCTAAATCTGAAAGAGACAGGGACAGGAGAGGCCAGTGTCTTATGGGGAGAAACATAAAAAGGAACTTTTCAGCTGCCCTGGGAGGCATCTAATGCTGAAGAGCAATCAGTTTGCAATAAAAAGTGTTATCTTGCACGTGGCAGATGTCTGTAGCGTCCCTGTCCTCTGAAACTGATCGCGACCATGTTTCCCTGAAAATAAGACCTGACCTGAAAATAAGCCCCAGTATGATTTTTCAGGATGCTCGTAATAGAAGCCCTACCCCCAAAATAAGCCCCAGTTCAATGAAACCCCACCCTCCACCCTTGTGCACCAACCAGGATGACATGCCTGCATTTGAATCAATGTAGATTGCTGTACATGAAAAAATAAAAAATATCCCCTGAAAATAATCCGTTATGTGTTTTTGGAGCAAAAATGAATATAAGACCCTGTCTTATTTTCGGGAAAACATGGTTACTACTTACTGAATCCCCCAAAGTGCACAGAGTGTCATGCAGTGGAAGGACAGAGGTTGTTGTTTTGAGCCATCAGGTCAGTTCCCACCCAGGCCCACTTTCTGCACGAGGGACCTCCTCCTGATCACGGAACAGCCCTGCCCAGCTCCGCAATTGGGAACGATGATTTGCCTTCCTCTAGTTTTCACCCTCCAGTTTGGAGCCTCCACACACACCCCCAGGAAGGTTCCAGCAATGGCCTCTCCAGCCTTAACTGGTCAAACGCAAATGAGGGTTTTTCTAGGGCTTTAATAGAATAGTCCCTACATGCCAGTTTTCCACATTTTATTTGTTCACTTTTATAGCAGCATCAGGAAACATTGCAGGGGAGAAGAAGACAGACGTGTGGAATTCCCACATTTGGGAAAAGAGAAACAAACAAACCAAAAGGGAGGGGGAGGCAAAGTAAACAAGGACACCATTTGCAGGAGGAGGAGGACAGCCTCGCCAGCCTGTCCCCAACCTGTTGCCATTCAAATATGCCAGATTATAATGGTCACCACTCCCAGGACAACGCGACCAAGGAGGGAGTGGTAGTCAGCACCTTGGAAATGTATCATTGGTTTGGGGAAGGGACGGGAAGTGGAGAAAGGGGCGATGTGGAAGGCAGGCCAGAGGTGGCACCAGGCAGAGAGCGATCCGAGTCCACGAGGCGACTGGACTGCTGCCCTTCTGGCTGCCAGGGAGCCCAGACAATGAAAGGACCAGCAAATGTTCCTCGAATGTGGTCTCTTCACTGCATCTTAATCCCTCACGAAAGGATGGGATTTGCTTTTTATTCCCAACTCACTCCTTGGCTGTTATTTCATTTTTTTAAAGAGTATTTTCACTATAAGATGTGAAGCAAACTGCAACTGAAGCCTCCCTCACACACCTCATGGGGAAAAACTGACCTTGGGAAACTATTAAGAGACCCGCACTCAAGGGAAGGCTATTGATCAGCAAGTCTAGGCTGCTCCCCCACCCATAATTCTCCGCAACTGCTCCCGATGGCTAGGGCGGATGGGACATGTAGTCCAAGAGTTTCAGAGGCAGCCTGAGGCTTGGAATTTAAACAGAGAAAGACGAAAGCTCTACTCACTGGACGCTGCTTTGTAGCCTTCTTGACATTTCTCTGCAGAGACAGAATCGGAGAGTTAGTGCTGAAGGCTGTTCCCAGAGATCATCCAAACCCACCCCTGGAGGCAGGGATGGTCGGTCTCCTGGTAGCAACAAACGATTTCATGGGCTCCCATGGAAACCCTCCTGCCTCTGGCCCCTCCCTTCTAGAACCATGGTTGTCTCAGATGTTGCTAAACAACAACTCCCATGATCCTTTGCAACTGCTCACAGTAACCAGAGCTAATGGGAGTTGTAGTTCAAGAACCTCTACAGGGCCACCTTTGTCTCCCTCTGTCCCAAGAAGAACCCTGAGGTGACGCTTCCCATGATACTCTGAGAAGGGGAGATCTGGGGTGTCCCTCATCATTTGGGAAGATTTCCAACGAAGAACCCCCAAAGCCTGACTTTGGCTTGAGACACGTGAGGATCCCTGGGAAAGAGGGGAAGACCCGAGATGCTCATGAAGAGCCCTGACGGAAGGTGTAGGAAGAGAGCAGGGAAGCCCAGACCATGGGTCTCCTCTCAATCTTTCCCCTGAAGGGAGACTCCAAAAGAAAATGCATCCCTCCAACCACACAGCAACCTCCCAACCAAGGCATTCGCTCCTTGACTTACTGATGTAGAACCAGGTGCCAGCAACCCCAGCCACGATCAGAAGAGCCACAATGACACACCCAATAATGACGCCCAAGTTGGAAGCTGAGAGTGAATGAGGAGAAAGAACAAAATAACTGAACATGAACCCAGAACCCTCCTGCCCTCTTGAGGAGGAGATGAAAACTGGCTAAAGGGGTTGGGGAGCCCACAGGGTTAAAAGACGCTAAAGTGAGTGAGTGGGATGGAGATTTGAAGCAGGCGGTTGCAGCCCCCAACCCAAGAACGTTCCTCAATGGGGAGGCTACTGATCATGAAGAAGGAGCTAAGATTCCTCCTCTGGAACGCGGCCAGAAGCTGGTGACTGGCTAGGCATCTCGTCTGCAGCAGGTCCGAAAAGCAAAAGGGTGCTGTCCGAAGGACTAAAAATGCTTGCCATGAAGGGGCGAAATAATTTTGAGACTGCAGAAATCATTGCAAGTTGCATTTTCAGTGGAATTTGGGGGAACCACTTCAAACACTCGTTGTGTTGAGCTATTTCAATGGCTTTTGTTTGATTTGTTCATTGCAAACAGCTGAAAGTCTGTAAATTTCCACAATAAACCTGATTTGCAATGGGGAGTTCAATAATTTTGATTACAACTGTAGATTTCATAGATGGTTCCTCAAGCTCCCCCTCCCCCCAAAAAACTGCCTGTCAGATTTGCAGCACCCTTGTAGAAATGAAGTGTGAAATTAATGGGGGAGATGTTGGAGTTTTCCCTCTTTTTCTAATATGTTTCCAGTGATTTTTGGATGTTTTTATTCATTGCTGTTAATTTCTATAATTGTTTAATTCACTATATATTTATCTGCATTTTTCATTTTAAGGTCCTTGCATTTCTCTCGAGTCCCTTTACTGAGGAAATAATACATTGCAATATTGTATTATATTCAGAAATTCGATTGGAATCCATGACGTTTCCGCTAAAATAAGACTAAAGATACCACAATTTATTTTTAAATATTTTTTTGTAACTTGCAAACACATCATGTGATCACAGCCACTTAGTCTTACAGGTGAAAAAACAACAAGCAGGCTGTGATCACGACACAGTAAGTTGTGTTTGGCGGGAAGGAATTGTCAAAAGGGCTACAACAATGGCAAAAAAACCAACAACCAAATTCAAATCACATGTATTCGGCAGTGAGGATCCTATTGGGGTGTATGTGCTGATCTAGCTGGAGATGCTGCTGAGGGACTCTTGAGTCTGAATCCTCCCTCAGTGAACAGGGCCCCCCTCCAAAATCCATCCAGCTGCCCCCACCGAGAGGGCAGCCTCTCCCCCGCCCCTCCTGCCACTCACCAGGCGCCTCCCAAGCCAAGACCAGAGGCTCCCCCAGGCTGGCATGGTCCACGTGGCACCGGTACTGGTCTCTCTCCTTGGGGTCGATCTTGATGCTGAGCCAGGCGTGGTAGGTCCCGTCTGGATAGGGGGCCACACTCTTGTGGAAAGTGCCTTCCTGCAGGCCCTCTCCGTCCTTCCTCCAAGTGACGTCAATCTCCTTGGGGTAGAAGCCGTAACCCTGGCAGACGAGGGTCTCCCTGCCATCGTAGCCCTCCTCTCGTGTCACCTTCCCCACGGGAGGATCTGCAAAAAACAGCAGGGCTGGGATGAAGACGGAGCCCCTTCCTGGGCCTGGCAGGACGGTGGCTTGGCTTTGATCCCGTGGGACTCGCCTGTTCTTCCCCACAAATCCCTCCCCCGGAGGACGCTTGAGAGATTTTCTTTTACAGCGAAAAGGAAATGAATGAGCAGAGCTTTTACTGGTGTCTTGAAATGATCTGAAAAGACTCAGCAGCCAAAAATTCATGCTTCTGGGAACTGGCCAGGGCATCAGCCCCAGAGACCTGGTGCGAGAGGTAGAAATACTTTGTAGCCGAGGGGGCAGCAAAAACTAGGATCATCTTCATCCTTGCCTTCTAGGAAGGCTCTCTGCGCCGACTGCTCTTTGCCTCTCTCTCTCTCTCTCTCTCATCAGTTCCTTTGCTGGCCTTTATTATTCAATATATGTAATAAATGAAACACAAAGTCCCTGAAGAGAACCATTCACAGTCTTCTGAATTGCTCTCTCAAAATTAAATAAATGAAATCTCTCGCAGCAGATTTACGTGGACTAGAGATAACCGAAAGGTTCCTATGATACCCAGTCAGATTTTCAAAAGATGTTGGGTGGTTTTTTTTGTTATATTTATAATAGCGAATGCCCCTACTGTTGTCGCCTTCCTCGTGAGAGGCGGCCCCAGCCATCCCCACAGAGTATCTCCCGCAAGTGGGCAAAGGGGCCGAGCCCCCAGGAATATGGGAAGAAAGGGAGATGAAAACGTCTGGGAACCAGTGTGGCAAAAGAAAAGAAAAAATGCAGACGAGACCAAGAATTTACAGCAAGGTCTCCTCCTGTCTAGTGGCCAATCCTGATAAAACATGAGGCTTTTTTTTTTCTTTCTTCTAATATTTTTAATAATCAAGGACTGAGTGGAAAAGGCAGGGAATGGTTTTTTTGTCTGGTGTGGGAAGGATCAGGTCCAACCCCCTCCGTCCCCCCCAAAAGCCACCTCCTTGACAAGAAGGCAGGAGGGGAGGGCAGGCTGTGCCGGGGAAAAGGAGGGGCAGGAATCGGTGGACTGTTGGTCCCGATGAAAATAAATAGGCAAGTAAATATTTATTTAAAGTGGGGTCTCAACTTACAAACTTAATCCGTATTGGAAGGCAGTTTGTAAGTCGAAAAGTTTGTAGATCGAACCTACATTTCCTATAGGAATGCACTGAAAACCATTTAATCTGTATCTGCTCTTTTCCATCCATAGATACTAATGGGAAGCTGCTATTCTGCCTTCTACCACTTAGAGGGTGATATTTTTTTCTTTTTTTCCTTAGGTCAAGAAAAGTTTAGGAAAGGAGTGGGGGAGGCAGGGAACAGTTTACAAAGCACTTTTGAAACCTTTTTTTTCAAGGAAGCCTATTTTAAACCACGTTTTAAAGCATGTTGTGCTGATTTTTTTCAGCACAAAGACACAGGAGTCTGGAACTCACACCTCAGCCTTTTTAGGTGCTGAGCAAGCCTCCAGAAGCCTCTTCAGAGACAGCCTATTAGCTGTTAGGCGGTGAAAGGATGGGGCACGAGCAGAGAAGAGCACAAAATGGCTGCCAGGCTCCCTGCTGGGTGTCAGCATTTAGCTGTTTGCTGCTCTTTTTCCTGCAGTTCGGGGGGTACCAAGGCCTGGTAAGTGACTTTCTTTTATTTATTTTTAAGTTTCTGACCCTTTTTTCCCCTCCAGAAGCCTCTAAAGGGAGGGAGGGGCACTTTTTTCCTGTTCGTAACTCGAGGGAACATCTTATGTCGAGTCCTTGTTTCCCTATTGGGCGGGTTCATAAGTTGAATTGTTCGCAAGTAGGGTCGTTCATAAGTCAAGACCCCACTGTATTTATTTGTTTGTTTATTTGATTTATACCCAGCACATCTGGCCTATAAAACCACTCTATAAGCGGTCTTATACACTAAAATAAGTGTCACACAGCAACAGCAACAGCAACAGCAACAACAACAACAGAACTCACCGTGGGTCGAGGAGGGACACACACACCCCAGCCTCAAGTGAAATCTGTTTGGTTTTCCTTCCGTAGATTTTCAGGTGAGAAACATGGGAAAGTAGCCAAAACTGCATCTCACATAAACAAACACAGACACAGACCCGTTCGAAGGTGGTTTGGTCCCAACGCTCCTACAGCCTTTCCTGAATAACGGGGGGGGGGGGGTCTCCCCAGGAACTAATAATTGGGGGGTCTCCACCCGTCTGTCGAAGGGAAGGGACGTCTGTCTCTCAGAAGGACCAGCACTCTCTCTCACCCCCTCAAATTTTCCCTCCCCCCCACATTCCCTCACCTCTCCTCCGCAGGCTCTCCTTCCCATAGTCCAGGAATCTCTGCAGCTCCTCAAGACATTCCCCCTCCAGGTAGGCCTTCCATCTCTGGGCACGGGCCGGTTCCTTCTCCCACCTTTCTTTGGTGATCTGGGCCTTGGAATCAGCAGCCGTCCAGGTGAGGGTCTCCTTGTCAAAGCTGAGGTAGTCCCTCCCGTCGTAGGCGTCCTGTCGATACCCTCCTCCTGGGCTCCCGGCCTCCCTCAGCTCACAGCCGTACATCCCCTGCACAGAGTGAAACCCTGAAAACAGACACACAGTGTGTGTGTGTGAGAAAGAGTTGCAGACGCTGAGCAGTGAGAAAGGGGGACTTCCTCACACAAATCCCCCCCAACAAATGTAAAGTCCCTCCAAAGGGGTCTGAGTGGAAAGATTTCCCTCCAGCGAGGCCAGCCCGCCCCCTAGAGACCATATGAGCACTAGGGGGGTGAGCTGGGGGGAGACGCTCCAGGGGAGGAAAGGCCCTCCTTCCTCTTTCCTTCATCGCTTCTTTTCAAAGACGTCCACCTTGTGCTTTGCCTCAAAAATGACCTCCGGTCCAACATCCTGACACGGCCCTGAGGAAGTTCTCGGCCACCTGGATGGGGATGAAGCCCCACACCTTCCCCACAGAAGACCCCCCTTGGGCCCCCTCTCCACAGCCACCCACCCAGAAGGGGATTCAGCAAGAAATTCCCCCTCAACCCAGGCCCAGCCCCCCCATGGATGTCCCCCCCCAATGTGTCCCCTGCCTTGACAAGCAAAGCAAATTTTATCTCCCCATGAGCCTCTGTTAGTGACCTTTTCTGATTTTTCTTTTCCCTCCAAAATCTGGTTCCTGGACTGGCTCTGCCCAGAAGTTTTACCCACAAAATGGCTGCCCATTTTAGCCTGACCCTGACCTGGCTCTTTGGAGTACTTTGGGTCCCATGTTTTCCTCATACCTTTTTCCTCATAACTTACAGGCCCCCTTATTTGTGAAATAAAATCAGCAATCTGCGCAGCCTGTCTAATGTCAGTAGGTTTCCTTTCCTGAACCAAATATTTAAGTTCACCACGGAGCAAGGAATAGAACTGCTCCAAACCTACAATATTTTTTAACTGTTGAAAAGTCTGTACATTCTCCTGTTCCAACCACCTGTCCAAACATCCCTCTAAGTTATAACCCAGCTGTGTGAAAGTTTCATCTGATTTCTTGGTGAGCTTTCTGAATTTCTGTCTGAGGTGTTCTGAATTAATGCCAAATCTAAGAAAAACCAACTTTTTAAACTCTGAATAATCTTTACTGAGTTCAATTGGCATATCAGCATAGATTTCTCCCATTTTCCCACTAATCAGAGACCTTAAAACTACCATTTTCTCTGCTTCTCTGAGGGAAAAATCTGAGGCTGCTCTCTCAAAACTTGTAAGGAACGCTTCAACCGAATCCCTTGTTTATAGGACGGAAATTTCTTTAAATCTGCTTTTGATAATTGGCCCACCTCAGAATCTCTATTGTTATTATTGTTCTGGTTCATCATTTCCAATTTTCTTAACTCAAACGCCATCCTCTCTCTCTCCAATCTTTCTCCTCTTTCCATCTCCATTTGTCTCATTCTTTCCTCCTTTTCTAATTGTCTCATCCTATATTCATGTTCCTGGGCTAATTGAATTTTCCTCAGTTCTGATAACTGTTCCCCATTAATTCCTTCCTCCTGCTCTGAGGTAAATCTGTCCCCTTCTCCATCAATCACGGTTTGTTCTCTTTTCTACAAAGCAGGTAAAATTGTTTTTTTCATTTATCTACATACGGAACATGTTGTTAATATAGCTATTTTGCAGCTGCAGAATCTCTGGTTCAGAAAGAGTGGCCTGCCCAGAATAATCCATATATAAAACAAGGCTCACATCCAGTGCCTTATTTTCACCTGGACGCAATGCATCCCCCTCTAGTCCTAAGAATATGAGTCATTTATTCCACTTTACAAAATGCATTTTATGTTAAGATCTACTTAACCAGTGGTCCCCCACCACCACCACTCTTATGTCCTTATTTCTTTTAGCATTCCCTTGGCAGAAAAGGAAATGCAGGAGAGAAGATTTCAACCTTCTCTCTCCCCATGTATGGTGGTTTTCATCTGGATAAGGCCCCTGCAGAGTTAGTTTTTTTAAAAAAACCCTTATAAGTACAGTATTTAATGAAGTGTCAAGTTATTGCCTAGCCTATTTGAGTTTCTATTAGACAGAAACTCAATTTAAGTTTTTCTTGTTTAATTTAAACTCTCATCTCCACCTAGTGGCTAGTGAAGGCACACAATGCTGAACTTTGTCAGTATGTGCAACCTTCCTGACTCACAATAAGAAGAGACCATGAGCTTTCTCAAATGTTCTGTCAAAAATAACTGGTGACAATGGAGGTGGACTGAGACGTTCCTCTTTCACATCACAATGGTCAGGACACTCTCTCATTCACACTTTATTTACGCTGCCACCAACCACTCCTTCATAAGACTCTTCAGACAAATGTATGATTTTAAAAATAAAAACTTGTATTTTATTGATAACAACAGAAGGAATGGTAAATCACTTTATCAACTAAAATAAAAAGGCAATCAGTAATAATAAAGTATACCCTCATACACACTATCACTCAGACCTTAACTCTTCATAACTCTTAACTAACTAAAAACTCTCCCACATCATTCACTCCCCCCCTATATACACAGCTCCACCTCCTGGAGGCCCACCTCCTGCTCTGCTATAGGCAGATGGGTTCCAGCATAACCATGATAGGCAGGTTACGTCATCGCAGCCGTCACATAGGGTTTGAACTTCCTCATTCCCCCAAGCCACGAGCCCCTTGCCCACGGCTCCCCACATCATGGCAGGGTAGCCCTTGGGGTCCTCCCTCCCTCCCTGCCACCTAGGGAGCCCCCCCCAGTCTATCCTGGGCATATTGGAAAGGTCCTCCTTCCCACCCATCTTGGCCCAGTTCCCCCCCCCGACAGCCAACAGCAGGGAGTGAAAATCTGAGAAAGGACCCACAGAAGCGGATGGGAGAGCCTAAGGGAAGACGAGGAGCCCCTCTCCACTGCCCCATGCCACCCCTTCCACCTCCTCTTGCGCCCCCCAAAAAGGGCCTAAATGGGGTATTTTTCTACAAAAGGAAGAACCACGCTTGTTCTTGGAAGCGTCTGGCACCACAGGACGGAGCCCCTCCGAGGAGCCCCAAAGAGGCAACACAGACACGTTATGTCTCATCAACTGACTTGGATCAACCAGAAACATGTTTCTTCTGAATGAGACACAAAGGCTACAAATCCCATCCACCTTCTCCTTTGCTCCCCCCTCCAGGACCAAACAGACTCCCTCTCTCCCACCCCAATATATTTCCCCCTGCCAAGGATCCTACCTCCATATCCACTGGGCCCTCCCGTCAATCCCAAGAAGGACAGCCAGGATCACGTCCTCTGGAAACTGAAGGAGAAGAAATGGGGCAGAAAGAGGGAAACTGGGGGGAGGTTCTGGAGAACAGGGAGCTCTCCAGCTGAATCGCATTGGAGCAGACAAACTAACTCTGCTAAGTTGTTTTACCGAATTGTTTTCAAACTCCTCGTTCCCATCAGACATTCCTGTGAGGGAAGTCACAACTAGAGGAGACCCATTTGAATCAATGGACCTGACAGGTGAGGAGGCATCTCACACGATCCCCACCGACTCCACGATGGCTTGACTGCACAAACCGACAGGGTTTCAGAACTCAGCTTTTCCAGAGCAGCTTGTATTTGGAGGAGAGACTCTTTTGGGGTCCCCACAAACCCCACGGGGGACCCCCTGGTTTTGGAACTGAGCCACCACCGACTGGTATAGACCTGAAGACCTCCAACCACGAGATTTGTCCTCTTCTAGTTCCATACCCTTCCACAGATAAGTAAGGCAAACTCAAGTAGGATTTTGCCCAACTCCAAAATGGCTTCCTGGTTGCATCAGAATGGCTGCTATCACCCAAGATTTTGTCCTCCAACAAGCCTTTCCAAAGCTCAGCACAGAAACACTGACATCATGCTCAGTTAGCAGATAAGCGATCACATTCTGTATCAACTGAAACTCCAAGACACACTTCAAGGTCAGCCCCACGTAGAAAATACTGCAGTAGTCAAGGGAGATTACAACTATGGCATCAATGATTTAGAAATCCAGTGGACTTAGCAAAGGTCAAAGTCAATGCACTAAATGAAGCTACACAAAAGCACTCCCTCCCACCTCTGCCTTCTGAGAACTCGGAGATGGTGCAGATTCAAGAAATAGAAATAAATTTAATCCAAATCTCCGAACCAGATTTTCTATGATTGGCCACTACTCCAACTTGTCAGGGTAGTGTTTCGGCTTGATCAGTCTCAATCAAGAGCGGTTGACAAAGATGCCACAATGAATCAAGGTGACATAAGATGTCCAGGAAAACTAACATGGCTGCACTCTTCACCATCCCATCCCATAGCACAGGGCACCCAGTAGGCCAAACAAGGCAATCCCCATTGTTTATAGGAATGACTAGGGAGTGGCTGCCGTTTCTTCTTCTCACAGACTCCTCCTCCATATATGTGCCATACGAGAAGGGGTAGTGACACCACGGCCCTTCCCCAACGGTGTTTGTCTCCATGCTGTGAAATGTTACAGAATGAAGATTCCGTTTAGAGTCTCCTCATAACATGGGATCTGTATCCTGGCACATGATTCTAAGCATCAAGAGAGAATGTCCCTCTTTTGTGAACCGTGCAAAGAAATGAGTAGTCGTGGACAGCAATTCGTAGTTTTTCACACACATAATGGGATGAAATCTTTATTGGAAGGACCACAACATGCCTTTCCATCCATACCAAGGAGAAGAATCATCTTGCAATTCCTTGCATTTTTCTGCAAGGACAACACCAATAAGCATTTAAATTTCTAGTCCCAGATCAAGTGGAAATCTGCCTCACTTGTGAAGAGCTTTCTTTTTCCTTCTTTTTTGGCTCATTCATATTGCAATGTTTTCCCTGGTTGTTCTGGAGTTGGTCTGACATTGGTTGTTGTTGCAAATTTAAACAGACTGTCCCAGTACTGAGTTCCAAACATGAAAAAAAGTATTTGATGCTGGACATACGGGGATGGACTGGGTTGTCTGGTCCTGTGCATCCACACGCACTTCAAACTGCCCCCCCAGGGCAGTTTATGCTATGTGTTGTATCATATTATGTTATACTGCAGAAGAATGTCTATACTCTCTGTACACATGTTAATAAAGTTGGTATCTTACTCTCTCGGTGTCATAATGTCTTTGCAACCTGGTATCTCCTAACTCTGCTACTATCCTGAGAATACATGAACAAATTCTCAACACGATTCTCCTTCCATCAGCAGGATCTGTGCTCTGGACGAAGCCCCAACAACAATAAAACAACAACTTTCTGCTAGCAAGTTCAGCAGAGAGGGGACCCTCCCAGCACTTCGCAGAAGAAAGGTCTGAATGGGAGAAGGCCAAAAAAAGAAGTGCCATCTATTTTGACATGAAGACTTGAGTGAAGGCAGAATTATTAACAGGAGGTACACCACTTGATGAGGAATGGAGGGACAGACAAGATGTGTTAAGCCTCAGGCACATCTCTACCCCCCGCCTTGACAGCTGGTTCTTCTGCCACAGGCCTCCATTTTGTGCTTATCTACTGAGATACCAGAACCCTCCTCTCACATTTCAGGCAGGTTCTGAAAGTCCTTTTTTTTTTTTCCATATCTCCAGCACACTTATTTTTTAAAACATGGATTTGCTACTCCTCACCCTCCACAACTCTAAAAGCCAGCCTGCTTAGGGTCATTTTAAGATGTCTGTCCCTTCAACACAATGGTGTGTGTGTGTGGTTTTGACGCCTCTGAAACCAGACCCCACACGCACAGCGCCTGCTTTAAAGAAAAGGACCAGCTGCTCCATTCCTTTTGAAGAGTTAACATTTTATACACTGTGACACAGTTAGCTGGCTGCTACATTTACTTTCAAAGTAACGCTAACAATACAAATTCACCTCCAATGAGTGTTTTTTTTTCAGGTAGACCTGTATTGTCCCAAAAGGGAAGTGAATGAAAATCCACAGCTGGATCCAAGGACGCCTGTCTTTGGTCTCCCCGTGACCCCCTGCCACCCCCAAAATTAGACAATGTTCCACTTTAGAGGCTTCCCACCCAATTTCTCAACAGGCTGCCTGGCCCTGAATGGCCCGCCCGCCTTCCTCCCCTCCTTGCCATCCGGAGAGGAGCAGCTCAGCCCTCCTGTTGCTTTCCCTTCGGTTACCATTGCTGTTGTTTTGACTCCACTTTGACTCCCCTTTTTCTCTTTTCTCCGGAGTGGGGCTTCTCTGTCCTGTTCCCCTTCCCTCCCCCAATCAAGGTCGAGCCAACTGGAGGGAAAAGGGGTGCCTGCCCTGGGTGGGCCTTCCCTCCATTTCATTCCTTCTCCCAACACCAACCCCGGGAGGAGAACTGCTCCCCCCTCCTGCCTTCCACTCACCTCCACTTTGGTTGTAGCGATTTCTTGCAATCTGCAGGTTCTTTCTGAACACCTCCTCGTTGTTCCGGCATATCTGGGTGTTCCTCTCCCAATACTGGGGGTCATCCTTGTCCACTTTCTTGATCCAGGGTGCCTGAGGCTGCGTCCTTCTTGTGATGCTGTCATACTGGCTGAAGAGCTGGCCATCCACGTACCCCACTGAGATGAACTGGGGTAGCCCCTGGTTGGGTTCAGACACAGCAGTGTCGAAATACTGCAAGGAGTGCAAGGAGGAGCCTGGAAGGGGACACAGAGAGGGAGGAGAATTAGGAGGGTCTAGAAGATGATGTTACCCCACAATCCTGTGCTCAGAAGCATCCTATCAAAGTCTCCAAAATACAGTACTGTAAAATACGCCTAGAAATGTTGGTCTGCATGGATTTTGGTTAAACAGCACATATACTGCACCGATATTTAACAGATACAGTGGTGCCTCGCATAGCGATTGCTCCGTTTAGCGATGAAATCGCTTAGCAATGGACTTTTTGCGATCGTAAAAGTGATCGCTTTGCATGTTTCCTATGGGGGATTTTCGTTTTGCGATGATTGGTTCCCTGCGATCATCGCAAAGCACCCATTTTCGCACAGCTGATCGGCGGTTTCAAAATGGACGCTGGGGAAAAAACATGGCCGCCTGCTGTTTTCTAGGATGGATTCCTCGCTTAAGAGGTACCAAAAATGGCCGCGCTATGGAGGATCTTCGCTGAATGGTGAGTTTTAAGTCCATAGGTGAGGGGGTGGGAAACAGGTTCTGGCGCATAGATCTCACAAAATCTATTTCCAGGAAAAACCCATTGTATCATTGTCCCAAATAATCCACCAAACAGTAAATTGTTCTCCAAATGGTTTCCAGCATAGGAATTTATCTCCCCGCACCTTTTTAAATCAGTGGACATGAGAAGAGAGTGTCCAAGTACCTTTACTTTATTGGTTAATTGCTTAAAACAATAGGACATCGCAATATATCAATGATAGCATCAACCACGTGCAGCAGTGCCATACCACACTTTCATTTATAAAAAAAAGAGGTAGAACTTCCCTTCTTCTTTAGGGTTTTTGATCCTTGGCATGGATCTTCTTTGCTGCCAGGGCAAATTTTGCTACTTGATGGGTAGTAATTACAGCCCTGCCCACAAGAAGTATACAAAGTTGAGCCGAGGGAGGGCTTAGAACACAACGTTCTAAGAAGGCCTGCAAGGAATTTGCTCCTTGGGTGATCATATAAAGAATATCTTAACAAATAATGAGAAACATCTTCAAGGTGTCCTGATCCACATATACTGTACAAAGTCTTTGGTCAAAAGGGACATTTTCATATCTTCCTACTAATATAGCTGTTGCCATACACTGAAAACACAGCGCTGTTAATGCTTTTCTTAAAGGGGCTGAGGCTAAATTAACAAAATAGTCCTCCAAACCAAATGATGTTGTATATAAGGGGAACCAACAGGAATAGGACATTTCTGAGATGGCATAGAGGTCCTGCCTCTTAAAGACAGATTTTTTTTCTTTAACCACATGCTTAGCTCTATCTGAAACAAAGGTAGGGAGCCTGTGTCAATCCCATAGTTCTGCAAAATGGGTCTAACTAAATTCACCGAGGATTTTTGAGATGGATTCTGAAGCTGTGTAGCACTTCTTAGGAAGGCGAGAGTCATTCATGCTGGCCAATTTCAGCCAATACATGGCTAGCACAATATGAGAATGTCCTACTTTGGCCCTTAGATATGTGGAAGGTGTGCTGTGGGGGACAGTTAGAAGAGATTGAATCAAAAAATTTTGGATCACTTCTTCAGTGTGAGTCTTTGGGAATCCACATATCTCTGCCCCATATATTATGTGGGGTACTATTTTCTTGACAAACACCTCAACTGCAGGCACCACCAACCTCCCGCCATGGGTTGTGGTAAACCACAAAAGGAACTGAGAGGACTGAGATGCTTTCAGATTCATTGCTTTCAGACGCTATTTCCATGAGAGTTGGGCATTGAAACAAAGGATGAGGTATCTTAAATTGCGTAGCTGCTCAATGGGTTTACCTTCAAGCTTCCATGTATGGGATTTCCTCTTCTTTAGTTTTGATATAATTGATAAGACAGATGTTCTCTTGCACAGAATTTGCTCAAATTAGTCAAGAGTCTTCACATACCAACTAATGTTGCAGAGACCATTACAATATCATCTGCATATAGAAGGACTGAAAGCTTGACATCCCTAATTGTGGGTGGGAAAAATTTCAGACCGCTCAATTCTTGGACTATATTGTTCATAGAGAAATTATGAGGAAAGGGACCAATAGGCCTCCCTGACAGACTCTGCTGGAAATGACTCAGACAACAGGCCATGTGCCGCAAGGCTTATCCTGAAGCTGGTGTTAAGAGTGAAGCATCTGAATTAAAAACAACAGCCTCCTATCTATACTAGTGGCAAGACATTTTTGTCACAGATGGACTCGATCTACGAGGTTGAAGGCTGAAATGAAATCCACAAAGGCGACATACAGCTCCTTCCTACCTAATTGAGAGTATTTTTGTATTAAATGGAGGAGTAGAAAACATTGGTCTAAAGTCGGTTTTCCCTTTTGGAACCCTGCCTGTTCTTCCACTATTACTGAGTTTTCAACAGCCCAACCCTCTAATTTGCCCAGTAAGTATTTGGAGTACAGTTTAGAGACTACATTAAGCAGACTGATTGGTCTAAAATTGTTTGGGTCGGCTTTAGAGCCTCTTGTGTGCTTAGGGACGATTATACTTGCACCCCAACCTTGGGGTATTTTCCCATGCTCATTTATGTATGTGAACATTCTAGCAAGCACTGCACACCACCAGGTGGTATTTGACTTAAACAACTCTCCTGGGAGCATATCTTCACCTGGAGCTTTGTTACTGGGCAAACAGCTGATCAAATCATTTATTTCATCTGGAGTGACTGGGTCCCAGTGCAGGCAAAAAGAGAGAGGGAGCGGAGCTCTACTAAAGGGTGGTTCTCGTTTACTCCCAGAAATGGTATGACTATAAAGAGTTGAGAAGTGGGCTTGCCATTGTGAGGAGGTGATTTGGTTGTCTAAGGCAGTGGTCCCCAACCTTGGGCCTCCAGATGTTCTTGGACTTCAACTTCCAGAAATCCTGGCCAGCAGAGGTGGTGGGGAAGGCTTCTGGGAATTGCAGTCCAAGAACATCTGGAGGCCCAAGGTTGGGGACCACTGCCTTAGACAACCAAATCACCTCCTCACAATGGCACAGTAATGATCAAAACCTTAAGGAGGACTCTGGAGGCCAGATGCAGCTCATAGAGCACAATTCAGCTGCCTCCAGCCTAAAGGCACCCCATCCATTCATTACAGTGGTACTTTGACTTACAGATACCCTTTTGATGTGAAAATAAGCCCTAACCTGAAAATAAACCCTAGCAGGATTTTTCAGGATGCTCGTGATAGAAGCCCCACTCCAAAAATAAGGCCCACTTAATTGAAAACCTGCCCTCCATCCTTGTGCAGCAACTAGAAGATGACATGACTGTATTTGAATAAATGTAGATAGTTGCACATGAAAAAAATAAGATATCCCCTGAAAATAAGCCCTAATGAGTTTTTTTTTGAGCAAAAATTAATAGAAGACCCTGTCTTATTTTCAGGGAAACACAGTAAATTCAGGATGAATGCGGAAAGGAGGTCAAGGAGACCTGCATCCTACTCTCCATGATAAACCATATGAATGAAGTCTGGATTTTAGTTTATTGTACAAACAACTGGGGCATTTCCCCTCCCCCTATCAATTCTTTTTCTAATCTGCTAGTTTTCATCACCAACTTTCTATAGTGATTTCATGGATGGTCAGCTTTTGTCTTTCTCAGGATGAATGCGGAAAGGAGGTCAAGGAGACCTGCATCCTACTCTCCATGATAAACCATATGAATGAAGTCTGGATTTTAGTTTATTGTACAAACAACTGGGGCATTTCCCCTCCCCCTATCAATTCTTTTTCTAATCTGCTAGTTTTCATCACCAACTTTCTATAGTGATTTCATGGATGGTCAGCTTTTGTCTTTCTTTTATGTGATATACTGTGGATGTGTGATGCATACAATGTGACTGAAACACTATCCTGGACAGGTAACGCTGAAACTGTACAACAGGAGGATGGTGATCTCGAATGCAGATCATTTCCAGAACCCTTTATATTGATGATGGATTCCCCTAAACAAAAAAGTCAAGGCTTGCTGTCATTTTATTATTTCTGCTTGCTTGCTTGCTTACTCGCTTGCTCATTCATCCCAGCTAGTGGCAATGCCACTACTCTGGGCAGTGAGCAAATTTAATATTACTCAATGTATTCACTGTCAACTCAGTACTGGCCAAAAAAGGAACGTCTGCTTGTTTCAACTCTTGGTTTCTTCAAAATAACTATAACAAAATGACAGTAACATGCAGAAATAATAACAGATACAATTTTGCTCAAATATATTCCTCAGAGCAGCCTTTAAGATATATGATGAAATCAAGACATTCTTCAACCTGAAGAAGATCCTGCCTGTTTGAAGAAATTCCTTTTGTCAGCTTCTTACCTGGCTTTGCATTTCTTTTGTCTCAGTCTCTGCATTTGGCACTCATGCTTACCATACTATCTGGAGGCAGAAGATTGTCATTAAAATATTCCCAAACTGGGTCTCTTCTAGGGCTTGCTGCTGCCATTATAGGTTTTCTTCTCCAGGGAAAGAATAATACGATCAACCCTCGGCTATACACAAAAAGAGCCGGAGCATTGGAGAGTGGTCAGCTTTAAAAGTTTCACTTTCGTTTCTGCTGCTTGCCCTTCCCTGCTCACACTTTGCTTCTTGTCCAGAAGTGTAAAATCAACTTTAGACAGAAAAATTTCCCAATCATCTCACAGAAACCTCTGGAAAAGCATAACACTGTGAATGGATTATTTATTTATTTATTTATGTATTTATTTATTTATTTATTTATTGGACTTATATACCGCCCCATAGTGCTACAAGCACTCTCCGGGCGGTTTACAATTTTTTTTAATTATACAGAATTAACAGAATTCATTTACAAAAAAAAAAACAAAAAAAAGAATATGCAACCTCATTCTACATAATTAAAAACTAATCCTTATTTCATGATAAATAAACTTGGGACTATAGTGTACTGTATCTTAAATAGAAAATGATGTTTAGATAGATTTTTTCCTCAAGAAGTCCAATTTAAATTTTTAAAATCTGATTTTTATTTTGTTTTTTTAAAAACACAGATTTTTATTTATCCTAGTTACAAGAGATTATTGAAAAGACTCCATTCTACATTATGCTAATAAATACTGTTGATTTGAATCAATCCTCATCTCCCAAGTTTGTTACATAAGGGGAAGAAATTTACCCAGGGAGATGCAGTACAGATCACATTGACTTTTGCAGTTTCTCCTACACCCAACTTCCATTCATGCCAAGTTTCTTTCTGCACCACCATTCCTCAGCGACCCTCCTGTTCTGCAGTTACTTGGAAGTGGAACTAAAAAGAGAGGTTACTTACCTGTAACCATGGTTCTTCAAGAGGTCCTATATGAATCCACACAAATGGGTTATTCTGTGCTACAGGACCTCTCGGTTTAACCCTTGACGTATTGCTGTATCTCCATTAACCTCCCCATCCCTCCCTCAATCCAGATGTGGAAAAGCAACGGGAGAAAAACTACGTGCCAGGTCGTATTGGTGCCTCCCCCAATTCCATTTTTACCATGAGAAAAAAAAATAGTACAACATGCATACAGAAGGAGAAGAGCAGAGTACCATCCCCCTGAGGGGAAAAACGCTCCTCTGAGGACAAGCAAAGGGAGGAACAGTTACAGTGGTAGCTTGACTTACGAGGTACCTCGACTTACTTGCAAACAATTCGAGTTACAAACGGCTCCGTTTGCAAAAAGTTGCTTTGACCTGCGAATGGAGCCGCAACTTACAAACCAAAACAACAACAAGAAAAAAACCTTTCCTGCCCTTTTTTGACCTAAGATCACCTTAGGTCAAAAGAAGAAGAAGAAATTTCACCCCCTACTGGTACAGTATGGATTAACCGGCTTTTCATTAGTTCCTGTGGGAACTAATACCTTTATCTATGAGCCGCACCTTGACATACGAACGAAAAACAGCAGATACTAATTAAATGGTTTTCAGTGCATTCCAATGTGAAAGTATGACTCGACTTATGAACGTTTCGACGTACAGTGGGGTCTCTACTTAAGAACGTCCCTACTTAAGAACAATCCAACTTAAGAACAGCTCCATTTGCTAAATTTTGCTTCTACTTGAGAACAGAAATCCAAGATAAGAACAGGAAAAAAAACCTTTCCTGCTCTTTTTTTAACCTTAGGTCATCTTAGGTTAAAAAAAAAATTCTCCCCATAGTGGTAGAGTACGTATTAATCAGCTTTGGTTAATGTACGAACGCACCTCTACATAACAAAAAAACAGCCAGAACGGATTAATTGGTTTTCAGTCCATTCCTATGGGAAATTTTGCTTCAATTTAAGAACATTTCAACTTAAGAACACCATTCCAAAACAGATTAAGTTCTTAAGTAGAGGTTCCACTGTAGTTTCTATGGACGGAAAAGAGCAGATACGGATTAAATGGTTTTCAATGCATTCCTATGGGAAATGCAGATTCAACATAAGAACTTTTCAACTTGAGAACCACCTTCCAATATGGATTAAGTTCGTAAGTCGAGGTACCACTGTATTGCCACCAGAGGTACCTGGGGAGGGAGGGGCCTTAAAAGGGCTGGCAGTCCCTTTATGCCTATTCATATTCTGAGCTTTTTTTTATTTATTTAAAGAAAAGCAGTGAGGGGCCCTCCTTGTTTCTGCATGTTTGGTGCATGGATGCAAATACAGACACACAGAAGAGCCCTTGCATCCGTTTGGCTGCCCAGTACAGATGGTGGCCTCTGAATGATACTGAAGAAGGAAGGCAATATGGATCATTTCCAGCTAGTTCCCCTCCCCAAAAGATCTCACTACAACTAGGCGAGATTGAGAATTGTAACTGTGAAACTGCCCTCCACTTTTGCGGCCCTTGTTGGAAATTAACAACCCTTCCCACCACCCTGGAGGGTGTGGCTGAGAAGGCCAATTCGAGAGGGACAATTCCTTCCACACTGAAGACAAAAGGGCAAAAAAGCAGCGTTTTTTCAAATAGGGTTGCAAAATTTGCACCTCCATTTTTAATTTTTACTTGGAGGCACATAAACATCTTACTTTATTCTGAAAATATTTTATTTTCTTCATTTATTTGTATGTTATTGACAGTGTGGATTTTACAGACAACACTACATCAACCACAAGAGAATCTACGTAAATTGCAATGCAACTAGACACAATTGCACCGCTAAAAGGAACAACATTCAAACACAATGTGGTGCTCTTCTCCCGATCCATACCTGATGGGTAGGATGACAATACACCAGCACGCTACCCTAGATTTCCACTTTACCTGCCTCTAGAAATCAATCCATAACATGTCCCACAAAAATTAATCATGTAACACAAAAGTGCTATCAACAGAATGAAACTTTCAAGTGAGCCATTAAAATAGCCAACCCCATGCCATTAAACCTCCCCATATTGAGAAGTGAGAGCTCTTATTTCCAAAGGAAAAGAAAAACTGGGTCCAGGATATTAAAAAAACAGGTCATCTTGAGACAGCATGATTTTTACAGGAGATAAACCTGAAACCATCACCAAGGCAGAAGTCACACTTGAGTGTGACGAATAGCATGAATATATCTGGTGTTTTTGCAACACTGCAAAATGATAAACTGTAAAAATTTATACAGTGCCTCAGATCCATGGTGTTGTGCCACAACAGTGTCAAACACCCTTGTGGCCCCCTCAGTGTTGGCAGATGGTATGTCTGATTCAAATTTATTGATTTAATTTCTGTATTCCCAATCTGGCTGCAAAGGTCACTCTGGGTGGCTTCCAAACAAAGAATAACATTAAAAACTCTGCCTTCTGTCCGTGGACTATTTCCGAAGACTCGAATGAATCACCAGGTTTTCTGGAGTATCTTCAAAGTTATCAGTGAAGGGACCCTCCAGCCAAACCTCAGGCGGAAGGGGGTTCCAGAGATGGGGTGTCACCTCCAAGAAGGCCCCATTTCTGGTCTTCTCTTTCCAGGCCTCTCTCAGGGTTGATGTCCTCAACAGCTTAGAAGGGGGCAAGATCAGACTGAAAGCCATCATCCTTCCCAGGTATTGAGGAGGGCCTGCCTGCTCCTTGTCAGATCCAAGGAAACCAAGGGGACCTGGTGTTGATTTCAAGCATGATTTCCCCCTTCCACCCAAAGCCGTTTTTCTACCTCACCCGAGTACTTTCATCTTACCTAATGCAGCAAGATCTGCTCTGGGGGATCTGGGAAGGTCGGGTTTTTTTAAAGATTTTTGGGGGGTTTTAAGCATAAAAGGGAAACCCTCCCAGTCCCGAGTCTAATCCGGCCCCACCTGCTGCGCCAAAGGAAAGGCCGGCCCTCACAGAGACAGATAAACATATCCTCTTCCTCCCCAATCTGCCCGTTTGCTCATCATCTTTTCCTTTATTCTGCATCTGAACGGCACCTGACGTCACCCCTGGACTGAGGGGATGCTGCCTCGTCCTGACGACCCTCATCATCCAGAGAAGGGGAAAGAGGGCGTACCTCTGTTCACCCATCTAGTAGTACAACGACACCACTTCGGGGAGAGGGATTCGCTCCAAAGTCGAACAGAAGTGATTTTTTTTTTCAGCCTCCGAGACCAACAGCCGTTGAAAAGCGTGGATCCGAAAGGGGACTGACTTCGGATTAAATGGCGGAACTGACACGCACACCCTTCCCGGACCTCTCCCGCCACCCAAAACCCTCTGAAAGGTTTTTATCCATCGAGGAGAAAAGCATGAACGGTGAGAGGGTAAGTTGATCCAAGAAACAGACCCCGACTCCGGATATCCCTCGCCCAGAGCTCGACGCCACTTCTGCACTTCTTTCCCCCCCTTCCCACGTTACTCACCCTCGCAGCCCCCCAAGAGGAGGGCCAGCGCCCCCAGGAGCAAAGCAGGAGCGCAGGGAAACCTCATTTCATTCTCAAGGCCGAACCTCGTACTTTTTCCGCTGGGTTTTTAATTCTTAATCCGGAGCCATACCGGACGCTTCGCAACCGTCGCCTGACCTCCTCCCAAAGCGAAATAGCGCCACCTCAAGCCCAGCCTATTTCAGACCGAACTGCCAGGATTGGTGGAAGGGAAAACGCTAGACCAATAGGCTGAAAAGAGTTAGGATTCCGTCAGTAGTTGCTACCCAGAGGACCCACCGCCAGCGAGCCGCTGAAAGCAGGACAGGGAAAGAGAAAGTTGGGGGTTTTCCGGGAATCCCCGCGAAGGGGCTCCGCTTGGAGGGAACGGCGTTTGTGCGGAGGGGAGGAAGGAAGGGACGAGGGCCCCCCCGGGGGTCGAGGGGGAAGGGAAGGCAAAGGGGGGGGCTTGTGCCTGGCGATGCAGGCGGCCGTGTGTGGGCCCCCAGCGGGGGAGGATGGGCTTTGGGGGGCGAAGGACCTGCTTCGCCTATGGTGCCCGACGTGGGAGAGCAGCGCTTCC